CGGAGTGACGAAATGAAATAATAGTTTATTAATTAAAAGAGGTTGTTGATAGATTGATATGACCAGCTAGAAAATCGATGTTCGAATATAATAACGCTGGTGAGTGAACTAAACAACAGGGTTGTATGATGCGGTTTAGCTTCATGCTTCAAACCTTGTTTCAACCTATCCTCTCGACTATATATCGTATATCTTTGCACCTATTGCGACTAATTACCCGTAATCCTATGAACAGTATATATTAACACTGGAGGTCTGATGGTCACTGCTGATAACTAATCTAGAGACATATAACCACCAAACTAGTCAACCAATTGGTTTCCTTATCTCTTGTAGCAAACCAATTGCTATTTCTGTCTTTATGTATATAGAGCATTTGTATCGCTGTATAACATATGGGGCATTCCACGCCAAATCGACCACTTTTGAACCCGACCCCTTTAGATTTAGCTGAAACTTTACTATTATTTTCTACCCTTTGAAAGACATTTTTGAGAATTTTTTCAAATTTTTTTATCTAACCCAAAAAAAGTTATCAATTTTTCAAAAAAATGACTTTTTTATTTTCAAATAGCCATAACTTTTTTAGAAATTGACTTTTGGGTACCTTTTTTTTTTTTTAAATTTTTGTTTTTGAATGAACTTTTCAAAAAATTATACAAAAAAAATTTAACATGATCAATTATATAAAATAATCGGTTTTTTTAAGTAAAATCGTCATTTTTTCGAAGTCCGCCATTTTCTTTTTTTTTTTTTTTTTCTCAAAAAAAAACTTCAATTAATTTGACAACTATCCCCGCCAATCCCGAGCAGGGCCGATTTTTTTTAATATTTTTTTTATTTATTTGAAAAAAAAATTGTCAAATTTTCAAAAATGGAAAAAATTTTTTTTCCGTAAACTTTATTTCTATCATAAAATAAATATAATTTAATGATTCTATGATACAATTCTCAATTTATAGACTTAATTTACGAATATAATGACTAAGTTTAATGATTAATACAGTTAATATCCAATGATTTCACAAAAACAATACAAAAAATTATTTTTTAATTTTCTCTCTGGCGTTTCAATATTTTACAAATTCTGTGTTCATTAGAGTTAGAAAATTTTTTAACATACAAACAACCATTTTTGTCCGGAATTATACAATGTAGTTGTTGAGTTCCTACAATTGGTTTCGTTTTCAAAAATCTGTCATTTAAATCATTTAATACTGTATTCTAATCTTCTTCTGGAGAAAACTTAAGTATGATATTTGGTAAGTTATGAAAGCTTTTGATGAGTGTAACATCGGAATGAGCTTTATATCTTTAAAAAGGTTAATATTTAAGAAAGTACAGTGCAATTTAACAAAAGTCATTATTTAATTAAGCAAAATTTTATTTATTTATAGTTCACTAGTCACGGCAGTCACATAGTGACTGCAAGGTTGCTAGTATAACTTATTCGCTCAGATGTGAAAATTTAACAGGTGATCTGTTAAAGATAGAGAATATAATTTTCTTCATTGAAGAAACTACTTAGAAAGACAATATAATTAAACTTTTATAAAAAGTTCTTTGTTTGAAGTAATATTTTACTTGGATCAAGAATATTTTGATCTTCCTCATTAATTTTTTTACTGAAATAAAAATTTCAATTAAAATAAAAAAAATACATTTTTACTTCTAGAAGTTAATGTAAAGAATAAAAAATTCTTATAAAAACTTACTAGTAAAATTAACAACTTTTGTTTAATTTTTTCCACTGGAATGAGATAAATTTTCTTAAAAAACCTTAACACATTTTTTTTTTAAAACTGCTGACATGTAATTCCTTGAAAATTTTTTTCCTGTAAAAGCATCAAGAGATACAATAAATACAATGTAAACTATTTTCTCTTATCTGACATGAAATCAATTTAAATATAAAATTACAACCAACCAAAATTATCTTGAATAATTTAACACATGATAAAAAAAAAATGAAATCGATGATCTGATTAGGACTAGGTGTGCAGAGTGATTGATAAGTAGATGAAACAAGTAATAGTAACAGTAATTAAAGTTAACATGCAACGAAGAGACACGGAATAGGAAGTGCATATCAGCTCTATTGGAAGACACGATGAACATGAGCAGGAACACGAGCGTAAAGTTGTAGATCGACGTAGAACGTAGAAATAGTAGTAAGTGAAGGGTTCAAAGGCGTTTAGTGGTCCGGAGAGACGATACCACCCTGCTCTGCAAGCCTAAGGGAAGCACAACCAGTGGCAACTTGCAAGTAAACAAGTTGAGTTGTGCAAAGGCGAATGAAAAATAGAGATAGAGAAAGAGGAAGCGGAAGAGGAAGAGAAAATCGAGAGAGAAGCTACGCTGATGCTGTACTGTGTAGAGCTGCGGGTGGTTGAGGTTCCATTGATTTTGTCTAGACAGGGTGGAGACTATACCAGTACCAACGTACTGTCCCGACGCTGCTCTGCACTCTAGTGCGCCACCACCCGCACTTTATACAACGCCTGACGACACCGGTAGTTTTCCAGAGGATACGCCTGCACGCGGTTCGATTTTTTATCCGGCTTCATGTGTCCTGTGTTAATTATTTTAATTATTTAATAAAAATGGGTTAAATTGACCGCGGATTTTTAACAATTAACTTATTACTATGTGTACAAGCTGATAGTGAATTTATTTTATTATTTTTAAAATGTCTTAGCAGGGAAAAATCGGGCTTGGTTCAGTGTACTTTGTAAGTGCTAGTAAAATTATAAATCATTAAATTTTTACATAGATTTTCATGATACCAGTTCATTTATTAAATTAGAACTAAAAAATATTTTATGAAAACTGCACTTATAGTTTTTTGAGTTTTTTATAAATGAAAATTTTTTTGTAATTATTTTTCAATTAAAAAAAATTATAACAATTTTTAAATGTCGGCTGACTTAATTTTTATAAACTTTTACACAAAAAAAATTTATTTGAATCAAATAAATAATTTATAAAAATTAATTTAACTGATATTTTATCATTTTTTTTTTAAATAAATTATGACAAGAAAAAATGAGAAAAAAACAATTAATTTATTAATTAATTAATTCTTAATAGTAATTTTAATAATTTTTCAACAAATAAATTATGTCAAAGAAAATGAAAAAAAAAATTGACATTTAGAAAATATAAAATATCAAATTTTTTAGAAATAATTTTTTGGGGCAAATTTATTTATAAAAAAAAAATAAAAAATGGTCAAATAACTGCTAATTTTAAGGTCATAAAGAATTTTTAAGAACTTTTTTTTTTATTTGAAAAGAATAATTTTTAAACAAATAAATTTTTCTTGGTTTAAGTAAAGTTTACTCGGTAAGATACCTAGTTCGGTCATAAATGCAAAGTTTTAACAAGTTTTAGAAATTTGAAATTTATTTAAATACAACCAAACCCAACAGCCGTAGCCATTAACAGGGTTAATAATTTTTACAAAGTTATTATTTTAAAATTATTTTAGTAGTAATGACAAGATAACCAAGAAAGTTAAATAATAAATTCAGATTGTAGCAATCACTTCGTGGCTACTCGAGTAGATAAACATAAAAAATAACAGAAGAAAAAAAAAAAAATAGTAATAGAATACGCATTACATATGTGCTGTTGAAATCTAACACTAAACTAGCTGACGTTTTCGATTTATTGTTTTTTTATAATTTATTAAACCAGAATAATAAAATATTTTTTAAAAATTGCACTTATAGTTTTTCAAGTTTTTTACAAATGAAAATTTTTTTTTTAATTATTTTGTAATCATTTTATCGATAAAAAAGAATTCTTAAAATTTTTAGGTGTCGGCTAACTTAATTTTTATTGTTGAAATTTGAAATCAATTGACCATACCAGAAATGAGATAATTGTAATTAAAAATTACATTTTAGCACAGACAGTATATGGGTGGAGAGTGAGAAATTTACAAATATTAATAATTATTGCATTCAAAAAACTGATACCTGTTAGAATAATATACTGAAAATAATCCAAAGAGATTTATAACTCTAAAGGTAGTCGACGTTTTTAATTTTTTAATTTTTTTTTCAATAATTAAATTAAAACAAAAAAAGATTTTTTTTTTTAATTCCACTTACAGTTTTTTACAAACTAAATCTTTTTTTTGTAATAATTTTTTCAATAAAAAAAAACCTCTAAAAATTTTCAGATGTCGGCTAACTTAATTTTTACAAAAAATTTTGAAAATTTTTACCATTAAAATTTTTATAAATTGTTAATAAACTGACTAGTTGTTCTTCTTATTCTTTTTGCCATAATTTATTTGTTAATAAAAAAAATTATTAAATTAATTATAACACTAAAGCTGTTAGCTGACGTTTTTAATTTTTTGATATTTTTTAATTATTAAATTATAACTAAAAAATATTTTTAAAAAATTGCACTTATAGTTTTTCAAGTTTTTTTACAAATGAAATTTTTTTTTTTTTATCATTTTGCAATAATTTTTTTAATAAAAAAAATTTATAAAAATTTTTAGATGTCAGCTAACTTAATTATTTATAAAAATTTAAACCAATTGCTAATTATTGACCTAAAAATTAAAAACCAAAAATTAATTGATATAAGTTTATTAAAAATCAATATTATCTTATTATGTTATTTCCTGTTGAGAAATACTTACCGGTTGTTTTTTCCGTAAGCATTATTATTATCGATAACGCTGTTTATTCCCCGTAGATGATCCGCTACAATGGGACAATGACAACGCCTTTCAACCGCGCACGTCTTTCCGTCGCATTCGCCATCAGCTCGAGTATTTTTTTCTTTTTTTTTTTTTACCACTTCCACTTCCTATTCTTTTATCTTGGACACAATGTTACCCTGAGTACTGTCAGGAAGTGCTTGGAAAAGTTTTTTTAAGTCTTGACAACTAGAATAGAAAATATAATAATAATAATAATAATAATAATAAAATAATAAAATTATTTTAATTGTAATTTATACTTATTGTTGCAGGTACACCATCGACGCCGATAATGCCGGGTGGAGCACCTGGGACACCTTCCTCCAAAGCCAAGGTAAACATTAACCTTCTTCAATATTCAGATTTATATTTATTTTTACAGTAATATATGTTTACCTTCCAGCAAGTTGAACTGGAATTTCCATACTCGTATAAGTGCTTGCTTTTAATTATCTCGTTCGCTTAGAATATCAAAGTCGGTGATATTTACCTGAGAAATAAAATATATTTATTTTTATTTTTGGTTAAATTATAGAGAAAGTTTTTAATTATTATATCAAAAGTTTTTTACGTTGTATTTTTTAGAGCTTTTTAAAAGTTATGGATTTTTTTTTAAGTGAAACTTCTTTATCGACGTATAAGAGAAATTTTGCAGCAATGTAAAAAAAATTCGTCACGTTTTTCCGTTACGCGCCAAATTTTTTTTTTTTATCAAAGTTAACTATAGCGCTGTAAAGAATAAATCTAGTAAGCATTATTAATTCTAAGAACAATTAAAAAAACAAATCAAATGATAATTTAAAAATAATTTAAAAATAAAACAAAGCAATTATTAATAAATAAAAATATGTGTATGTACATATTTTTTAATTATTTGTTTCTAATGATTTATCTATTTATTTTGAATTCTATAAAATCATTTCATGTCTACAAGATGAACTGTCATCAAATAATTGTATTACTTTGAATAGATAATTTCAATTATTTACTCATAACTTGTGTAATTGAGTAAGTTATTAAATATTTGCTTTGAATTATTTTTACTAAGTTATGGCATGAAATATGAATATCGACGGTCTAATTAGCAATTGATTTAATTTCTTATTTTATAGAAGGTGATTTTTTAACATTTTTATGTAGCAATAGTTCAAGTATAAATTATTTGAATGATCCAAACTAAAATATTATACCTCTATTAGTTATTAAATGGTTTTTTGAAGTGATAATAAATTTTTAACTAATTGTTTTTTCGAATAAATGGAAGATTTTGTAAAATGGAGTTAGACAATTTGCTAATTAGAACATCGATATTAAAGTACTTTATATAATTTTGGTAAACTGATTAATTAATTTTTAAATTAAATAATGGCAGAATTTAAAAAATGACAACAATGGTAATGACTATGAGATCATAATTGATGAAATACAATAATCATATCTAGCAACCTTGCAGTTCACTATGTGACTACTGTGACTTGTGAACCATAAATAAATAAAATTTTGCTCTATTAAATAATAACTTTTGTTAAATTACACTGTACTTTTTTAACTATTGACGTTTTTAAAAATATAAGCTCATCCCGATGTTATACTCATCAAGAGCTTGTAACGGGTGGTTTATTTCCCGTACTTATTGGCCCTGATTATTTTTAATAATTAACAATATAACAACAAAATGACTCTAATGCTAAATAGGGCGCCACCAGGATTATTTTCTCGGTTCCTGGAACCGGATGCCAGAGCTGAGCTTTCTTATTCTACAGGGAGAGAGAGAGAGAGAAAGGTAGTCTAAAATCAATATAATTTTATTAACAACGGTACCAAATTTATTCAACAATAAAAATTAACAAACTCGTACACTTGTACGTACTCCTCATCACTTACAACTACTCCACACTTCCGCTTATAACTACCGGAGGATTTCGGGCTAAAACCGGCGACTCCGACTTGGCGCTAGTCGTCTACTCGGCAAACCATCAACAAGATGAGGACCTCGCACCAAGATTTATTACCCTACTCGGCAAACCATCAACAAGTAGGGGTCGTCTACGAAAATTTCTAATCCCGCAGTACCCTCTTATGGAGCGACTATACTGCGGTTTCTACCTTACTGCCGCTGTACCCCACTTGGCGACTATACAACGGCTTCTAGGATTGTACGAATTGCTCTACTCGGCAAATCATCAACAAGTAGAGAACGCGTACAATCGCACACACTTAATCCGCACGATCTTCACACACACACTGGCTCTACTTTATTATTTCCGGATTTACAAAATTAACTCCAAAAATTTACTACGTTAATTTTCATTAAAACCTATCAGTCATTAGCTCGCAATAAAACTCCTGAATTATTCTCCCAATTTAATAAATTTACTTCTTAAAATTTCCGGCTTATACCGACGCTTCTTTTCCCTCCATCTTTAACACGAGCTTATCTCTGCGCATTAACAAATTCTTAGAATATTCTTTCGTACAATTGACTATATTTTTCACGGACTTAATCCACACGAATAAATAGTTTTATAAATAATTCTACCGGAATAACAATGATAATAAATTATTGATGATTTTTACAGGACCTTTTCAATATAAGACTCCCCAAGCAGAAATTGGCAATTAGATTAGATAACAAATTATAATTTTATCCAATGTAAAAATTACGTGCCTCAATTTTCCTGCGGGTGTATCAGTCTTATCTGCGTCGAAATTTAATAAATCAATTCTCAACAATTAATAATACGTGGAATAATAAATTTCTAGTAATTAGCGAAAGACGATTAGATTATCAATAATTCACCTCAGTGGGAAAAAAAGTAATTTCAAAAAATTATCCACGGTCTTAAATTTCGAAATGCGACGCAGTTTTCTCAATAAATCAATTCCGGTAATTAAAATTGTTCCGAACAATTAATTAAATAATTTTCCATAAATAATAAATGAAATATGAGAAGTAGTCCAGTGATTTGAGCCGGATCTGAACCCCAAGGCTCATCACTACCAAAGTCCAATACCTGGTGTGTCAATTGGTTTGAAGGAACTCCTTGGTTGCTACTGGCTTCCTTCTTGGACTCCTTGATGTTACTGATTTGAGCACTATACTACTTCTGTCGACACAACGCCTTGCTCGCCTATTTAATGACTCCTAAAATACCCTCTCCTACTCTCTTTCTAAAGCCGAAGATCGATGCGCCAAAATGATAGTCGAAAAAGTTATCGATATCTGGCGACTTATCGATTAAGGGTAAATTACCCTGTTATGAACTTATATCTTTAACAATGTCAATAGTTTCACAAGATACAAGGTCATTTCTTAACTATGTATGGAGAGATAGAGCATTTACGAATGCAGCCTAGATACTTATCATCATAAATTAACTATTGGTGAGAATGATATGAAACCTTAAAAAGGCACAACTCCAGGTCAAAACTTTTCCAACGATACCAATTTTAACCATAAAAACCCATTTTATCATATAAATACACTGGCCCCAAAATTTCGCTTATATTCTCTTAATAATATAGATAACAGCAATGATAAAATGAATTACTCATATTATTTGTATGCATGTCTATAATACCAAAATAGCTTTAATTTAATCCGGAAAAATTTTTTTTTCTTAAGTCGCATCTACCCAATTTCTGTGAAGTTATAAATAGTAAAAAAATGATATCTCATAAAGAAGTTTCACTTCTTACCTGTGTACTCTGGTACACACACATATTTTTTTCTTTTAATTAGGTAATTAAAAATTTTATCAATTTGTTTGTGTAAGTTTTTATTTATTCATGAGGATTTATTTCTTCATTTCTTCAATCAATATACTGTAGCAAAATTATAACCACACTTTTTTTCTTGCTTGGTTATACTTTTACTTCATGATACAGAATTGATTTTTTTTTTAACAATGAAAAAATACTTCTAAAAATTTCCACAAATTTTTTAAGTATGTAGGAGGCATTTAAAAATTATTTCTAGATACATAATTAAGAAATTACCTTGTATCTTGAGAACTATTGACATTTTTAAAGATATAAGCTCATCCCGATGTTATACTCAACGAGACCTTTCATTTGAGTATCCACATTAATTTTTCATATATTTATATATATTATATATATGTATATATGAAAAATATATGAAAAATTGATGTGGGTACTCAAGTGAAAGCTCTTGATAAATGTAACATCAGGATGAGCTTATATCTTTAAAAAGGTCAATAGTTAAGAAAGTACAGTGCAATTTAACAAATATCTTATGAAATATTGATATTTTTAAAGATATAAGCTCACCCCGACATTACACTCATCAAGACCTTTCATTTGGGTACCCACATCAATTTTTCATATATTTTATATATTTATATATTTCACCATATATACCATATATATAAAATATATAAAAATTGCCATGTGGGTATTTAAATGAAAGGTCTCGATGAGTGTAACATCAAAACGAGCTTATATCTTTAAAAATGTCAATAATTAAGAAACGACTTTGTATCTTCTCAACTACTGACATTATTAATGATATAAGCCCACCCCGACATTACACTCATCAAGACCTTTCATTTGAGTACCCACATCAATTTTTCATATATTTCATATATTTATATATATATTATATATATGTAAATATGAAAAATATATCAAAAATGCATGTGGGTACTCAAATGAAAGCTCTTGATGAGTGTAACATCAGTATGAGCTTATATCTTCAAAAACATCAATATTCAAGATAGTACAGTGCAATTTAACAAAAGTCATTGTTTAATAAAGTAAAATTTTATTTATTTATAATTCACTTGTCACAGCAGTCACATAGTTGCTAATTATCATTATTATAAAATTCTATAAAAATTTCTAATGTCTGTCTTGAAAAATTCAACATTAACTAAATAAAAATAATTTTTCCAGGAAAAACTGATGCTGAGGACAAAAGTAGTAGTAGCACTGTATCCATTTCGTGCAATCGAGGGAGGAGATTTGTCATTGGAAAAGGTAAATAAAGTGCTCAGCACTGTACCGGAAGATAGTTTTATATGCGGGCCATACTGCACTGCAAATGGTTAAAGTGACGTGAGATACATGAAGAAAAAAAAATAATAATGTATATACTATAGAGTGCGAAACAATAGAGCCACTAGGGTAAAGTAAACTCTAGTGTGAAAAGCAACCTTGCTTGATGAGTGTTAATTTTTCAGGGCGCCGAGTACGAGGTACTGGATGACTCACAGGAGCACTGGTGGAAGGTCAAGGATGAAAATGGGTAAGACTTTATTTTTATTCACACAACTTTTCACTCGAAAAAAATATCCATTTTATTTTTTTATTTTATAACAACCATAATAATAATAATTAAAATATTTCAGATCCATCGGGTATATTCCGAGTAATTACGTCAAAGAAAAAGAACTCTTGGGTCTTCAGAAATACGAGTAAGTACTTATCAAGCGCGCTGTTAGCTTCAGCTTCCAGCTTTGTTTTTATTAATTTTCCATCACAAAGATCCCATTGCTCTTCAATACAATCGGGTAATTGATCCAATTGTGTATTGTTCTGTATTGTGATTGATTAATAGCTCCAGAGCTATCAAACGTCATTTTAAACCCTGTTTTCCATCACAAATTTATAAATGCTACTCTGACTGGGCTCCAGAACAATTCACTATACACAAAAGCTATTTTTCGTGAATATCAGTTGAAGTAAAAGCATCAGTTATCGACAGCAGATCAATTTTTGACACTTTATTTTAATTTTATAGATAATTAATTATATCAAAGAGAGTTATACGGACTAAGAAGAAATATAAAAAGTTATTTTTTCTGAAGAAGTTTTTCTAATGATTAATATAAAAATTAATACACTTATTGAAGTGACTTAAAGCTTTATAAATAAATTTTTAACTTCCCGCTAAAAATCTCAGACTTTCAAAAATCGGGAAGTTATTGTTTTCACCCCGTTTTGCAAAAATCGAGTTTTCATCAGATCTCGACGTTTTAAGGTCCTAGGAAGCTTCCCTGACTATTCCCGCGATGGTGTCCGTGCGACTGTATGTGTGTGTGTGTGTGTGTGTTTTTTTCCCTATTTGACGGGGGGTACGAAAAAAGATCTTCAAAAGACACCGCTATCGTTAACTCTGCCGCCCATCTTACGGCAGATATCGATAGTCGGTAGTGTGGAGATTTTTACCCACTAAAAAAAAACATTCCTCTTCCCCTCTCCCCTAGATGGTACGGGCTTATGCTCATCTGCCGCTCTTCTGTTCCAAGCTCCTCAGCGCTTAGTGTGGTCGACTTCTTTCGTTGGTAAAGGATCCGTCTTTCCTCAGCTAAGATTCCGAGAGGCAAAGTTCCGGAAATGACACACACTGCTTCCATAGATATTGTGCGGAAGGCGCTTGCTACTCTTAAGGCACTCAGACGGTAGACTGGTCCAGCCCTTCTCGATGATTCTTGCTTTTCTAGTGCGTCTGCCCAGATAGATATTCCGTAAGTGAGCACTGATGTGACTACAGATGATAGCGGTAGTCTCCTGCTCTGCTTTGGGCCTCCGACGTTTGGCATCAGTCGTGCTAAGCTGGCTACCACTGCTGATGCTTTTGCACTCACGTGTTCGGCTTGCTGCTTAAAGTTGAGTCGGGCATCAAGCATCACTCCCAGATATCGGATATATGGTTGTGATGTGATTTCTTGTTCTCCGACTTTCAGTTTTGTGGTCTCTATCACTTTTCTGCTGGTAATAAGCACGGCCTCAGTCTTCTGTTTAGCCAGTTGTAGATTCATTGAATCCATCCACCGGTTAACTTTCTCAAAGGTGATACCGAACATGTGGTTTATCTCATCTAGGTGTAGTGTGTGTGTGTGTGTGTGTGTGTGTGTGTGTGTGTGTGTGTAAAGTTGCAGGAAGTTGCAGGGATGGCCTTCAGGGTCAACCGTTTTCCTAATTTTTTTTTTACAAATAATAATTCTAGCTTCTATAGATCTTCGGATTTTATAAAAAATGTGTCTTGCAATGAGAAGAAATCTTCAGTTTATATCACCGAAATTAAAAAATTCTTTTAATGTAAAATATTATCTATATTATTAAGAGAATAAGCGAAATTTTGTCTCCAGGATAATCATATGATAAAATTGGGTTTTTTAGTGAAATTTAGTGTCATTGCAAGGGTCTTGACTTGAATATGTGTGCCTTTTCAAGGTTTTATATCATTTTAGCTGATAGTCAATTTATTATGATAAGTATTTAATTCGAAAATTTTCTATCTCTAGATACATAATTAAAAAATGACCTTGTATCTTGAGAAATATTGACATTTTTAAAAATATAAGCTCATCCTGATGTTACACTCGTCGAGACCTTTCATTTGAGTACCCACATCAATTTTTCATATATTTATATATATTACATATATGTATATATGAAAAATATATAAGAAATGCATGTAGGTACTCAAATGAAAGCTCTTGATGAATGTAATATCAGGATGAGTTTATATCTTTAAAAACGTCAATAGTTAAAAAAGTACAGTGCAATTTAACAAAAAAAAAATTTTTTTTAATATTTTTAAAAAATTGCATTTTTAATTTTTTTTAAATTACTAAATGTCAATTTTTTTGGGATAATTTATTTGTTAAAAAGTTCTAAAAATAATCAAATATTTGTTAAATTAATTTTCATATCAAAATATCTATTTTCAACAAAATAGCTTGACAAAAAAAAATAGTTTATTTATATTTCAAGTGCGTATAACTCTCAAAAAATAATATAAATTATATTTAAGCTTTTAAGCCATTCATATCTTCTACAATAAATCTATCCATTTGACATTAAAAATCAATCATAGTATTCTAAACTTTAGAAGCATTCATATAATGGCTTTCGATTTAAAATAATGATGAGTAAAGCACGGAAGTATAGGGGGAACACGTCAGTGTTTTAGTATTAGACATTAATCCCTGATATAGAAAAGATTAATCTCTGTTGGGATGTATCCAGATGGTATGTGGGCGATATGTCGAGGCAACGAGCTGAGTCTCTACTCAAGCAAGAGGACAAAGAGGGCTGTTTCGTCGTTCGGAATTCATCTACCAAGGGCTTGTATACTCTCTCGCTCTACACTAAAGTGTAAGTACACCAGTGACACTTTTTTATACAATCTAAAAATTCATTTTAAAAAAATAATACCCGGCAATAGTTTTATTTCCAGTTAAATTGTACGGCAGTTAAATGTTCATCATATATCACGACAGATGGGTGGAAAGCACCTGAATGAAAGAATAAACGAGCATCAAAACAATTTCCTTTTATTTTCGCACTATAAATTTATTTTTTATGCTTTGCAGACCGCATCCTCACGTCAAACACTACCACATAAAGCAGAACACCCGAGGCGAATTTTACCTGTCTGAAAAGCACTGCTGCGGCTCCATACCAGACTTGGTAAATTATCACCGGCACAACAGCGGTGGACTAGCCAGTCGCCTGAAAACAAGCCCCTGTGATCGTCCTGTTCCTCCTACCGCTGGTTTAAGTCATGGTAGTTAATTAAATACTTACTCAAATGTGATAAGTTGATAACATACTGCTGTGTTGAAAAAAATAAATAGCTAAATTATTTTTATTTTTATTTATATAGATAAATGGGAAATAGATCCTACGGAGCTCCATTTGTTAGAAGAACTCGGCTCAGGACAGTTTGGCGTTGTTCGAAGGGGAAAATGGCGTGGTTCTATCGACGTAGCTGTTAAAATGATGAAAGAGGGTACTATGTCTGAAGACGATTTTATTGAGGAAGCTAAAGTCATGACGTAAGTTGTCAAATAATCATCATCATACATCTTATTTCTAAGAGGTGTTTTTTTATGATACGGCTGGATCTCTTTTATTTTTTTTTAAACTCAAAATTTAAAATGTCATGTTGAAGCTTAAGTTTCCTGCAATTGATAAAAAATTGACAAGGTTTCATATCATTCTCACCGATAGTCAATTTATTATAATAAGTATTTAGGCTGCATTCGAAAATTTATCTCTAGATACATAATTAAGAAATTAATTTGTATCTTGAGACCTATTGACATTTTTTAAGATATAAGCTCATCCCGATGTTACACTCATCGAGACTTTTCATTTGAGTACCCACATCAATATTTTATATATTATATATATATGTATATATGAAAAATATATCAAAAATGCATGTGGGTACTCAAATGAAAGCTCTTGATGAGTGTAACTTCAAGATGAGCTTATATCTTAAAAAATTTTAAAAATTAAAAAATTACGTCGTATTCTGTCTACTGATGATATTTTCGACGATATGACCTCATCCTGGAGTTACACTCCTCGAGACCTTTCATTTGAGTACCTACATCAATTTTTCATATATTTGATGTACATATATATATATATATATATATATATGAAAAATATATCAAAATTGCATGTGGGTACTCAAATGAAAGCTCTTGATAAGGGTAACATCGGGATGAGCTTATATCTTAAAAAACGTCAATAGTTAAGAAAGTACAGTGCAATTTAACAAAAGTCATTATTTAATAAATCCAAATTTTATTTATTTATGCTTTCACATGACGATATTGACACAAGTCAAATAATAATTTAATTAGTATAATTGTAAAGCTGACTTAGTGGTTAGTAAATGAATTTCTAATACTCAAACACTTTATAATCCGTTCTTATGCTAATGACAATGAACTTTGTCAGTTGATAATATTATCAAATATTAAGTCACCAATATAATAATTAATTATTCTATAATTAAATTACAGAAAATTACAACACACAAATCTAGTCCAACTGTATGGAGTTTGTAGTAAAGACAGACCAATATATATTGTTACTGAGTACATGCGTCATGGATCTCTTCTTAACTACCTCCGTCGTCATGAAGCCTCTTTATCGACAAATGTCGGATATCTTCTTGACATTTGTATACAGGTAAGAGCACTAGTTTTAAATTAATTATTAATTGATCAATAAATTAATAAATTTTATTGCGTTGGATAAAAGGTCTGCAGAGGAATGGCGTATCTTGAAAGGCGCAATTACATCCACAGGGATTTAGCGGCACGCAATTGTCTTGTAGGATCAGAGAATGTAGTTAAAGTTGCTGATTTTGGTTTAGCGAGGTATGTTTTGGACGACCAGTATACCAGCAGCGGTGGTACTAAGTTTCCAATAAAATGGGCACCACCAGAAGTCCTTAATTACACACGGTTTAGTTCGAAATCAGACGTATGGGCTTACGGCGTACTTATGTGGGAAGTTTTCACTTGTGGGAAAATGCCTTACGGACGTTTGAAGAACGCCGAAGTTGTAGATAGAGTTCAACGTGGTCTCATTCTTGAAAAACCAAAAGCATGCGTCAAAGAAGTTTATGAGGTACTTATTTAATTTAATTTAATTAAATCTTGCCTAAGAAATAATTAAAATTAATTTAGCTGACACTTAATAATTTTAACAAATAAATTATTATAAAAAAAAAAATTGACGTAGAAATTTAAAAAAATTAAATTTTTTTTAAATAATTTTTTTGGAGAAATTTATTTATTAAAAAAATGGCCAAGTGTCTGCTATCTTTAATATCATAAAATTTGTATGAAAATTCATTCAGCAGACATTTAATAATTTTAAGAAATAAATTATTGCAAAAAAAAAAAAAATTGACATTTAGAAATTTAAAAAATGCAATTTCTTTTAATTAATTTTTTAAAATAAATTTGTTTGTTAAAAAAATGGTCAAGAGACTCCTAACTTTAATGTCAAAAAATATGAGATTAAATTTAGCTATAACTTCATAATTTTTTAATTTTTTTTTAACAAATAAATTTGTTCCAAAAAATTATTTTTAAAAAATTGTACTTTTTGTTTTTTACAATATTTAGATGTCAATTAAAAAAAAAAATTTTTTTACTATAATTTATTCATTAAAAAAATTCTTATAATTATTAAAAATCTGCTAAATTAATTTTCATTCACAAAATTTATGTGAAAATTAATTTAGTAGATGATTAATAATTTTTTTAACAAAAATAAATTATTGCAAAAAAAATTGACTTGTAAAAATTGGAAATGCAATTTTTTAAAAAATAATTTTTTTAGACAAATTTATTTGTTAAAAAAAATTATCAAGTGTCTGCTATCTTTAATTTAATGTCATAAAATTTGTATGAAAATCAATTTAGCAGATATTTAATAATTTTATTAACAAATAAATTATTGCAAAAAAAAATTCGGAAAAAAAATGGACATTTAGAAATTTGAAAAAAATTAAAAATGCAATTTTTTTTAAATAATTTAGAACAAATTTGTTTGTTAAAAATTAAAAATTAAAAAATGGTTAAGGGACTGCTAGCTTGAATTTCATCTAACTTATAGTAAACTCTAAATAATAAATAATTGTATTTTTTTTTTTTTTTTTCACTAGATAATGAGAAAATGTTGGGCCCACTGTCCAGAAGTACGACCATCATTTCGCGTATTGAAAGAACAACTGATCAACGTGAATCAAGGCCTGGTCAATGATTGACTCACCCTATTGCGGTGTCTGCGCCTCTCTTTGTCTCCAACAAACTGCACGATTGTCACACCAAAATCACCGTCTCCTGGACGATCGCCTTCTATCGTGCCGTCGATAAGTTCATCGTACAACTCAGCAACGCTTCCTACACCGCGCAAAATACGTGAGCCCGCTTCGCTGCCAACGTCAATTGATTTTCTTCATTTGTCGTCTTCACCCTCTTCAACAACTACAACAACAACAACAACAACAACTTCAGCAATAACCTCAATAACAACAACACTAAGCAAAATAACCAAGAGAGATGAAAGTACATCGTCACCAAACAGAACAACTGCCGGGCAGGTTGCTAGTCAGCCATCCTCCAGCACATCCAATGTTTGCGAAATTTGTAGCATGTACGGCCATCCTTGGATCGAAATTTGTAACGCTATTCGTGCCACTAAGGGTCAATGATTTATGTTTCGAGATAGACTAAATTTATTATCATTATTACTACCGCGATCCATTTTATCAGGAGTTATTTTTAAATACACAATCGTGGTTATTTTTAAAAGCGTTATCGTGGTGAATGAAATTAAGTAATTAGTGATTATTAATCATTAATCATTAATTACAACTCACAATAATTAGTTAGTGATTATTAATTAAATTTTTTTTTTGTTAAAATTATCAGTAAATTTATTAATAATTGAGCAACGAAGAAATTAATGTTGATATTCTTGTCATGACAAACAAGTTAACGAATAAGTATAAATTTCTACTCGTCCATAAATTTTTTTTTATCAAGTTATTTAAGGGGCCATTCATTAATTACATAAGGATATTGAGGAAAAGGGGGTGAAATTAATTCTTACGAAATATTTCGTGAATGAAAATTCAATATTAAAAATCTAATTTAATTTTGGATTGAAAATTGTTTTCTTAATTTTAAACTGTACATGGAAAGAATAAGATAACACTGAATATCATCCCAGATTATACTCAGTGATATGTTTGGTGAAAAAAAAATTCAGATAGTATTTGAAACAATATTTGACAATGTTAATATCTAGAGTACATAATAGATACTAACAACCTTGCAGTCAATATGTGACTGCCGTGATTTGTGAACTATACATTATTGAACTTTTGTTAAATTGCACTGTAATTTTTTAAATATTGACGTTTTTAAAGATATAAGCTCAATTTGATGTTACACTCATCAGGAGCTTTCATTTGAGTACCCACATGCATTTTAATATATATTTTTCATATATACATATATATATAATATGCATAAATATATAAAATATATGAAAAATTGATGTGAGTACTCAAATGAAAGGTCTTGATGAGTGTAACTCCAGGATGAGCTTTTATCGTAGAAAATATTATCAGTAAACAAAATACGACGTCATTTCTTAATTATTGAAATTTTTCACGATATAAGCATATCCCGATGTTACTTTCATCAAGAGCTTTCATTTGAATACCCACATGCATTTTTGATATATTTTTCATATATACATATAAATATATAAAATATATAAAAAATTAATGTGGGTACTCAAATGAAAGGTCTTGATGAGTGTAACATCAAAATGAGC